ATACATAGACCACCACATGTCCCTGGTGAGCCTCTAGTTGACTAGCTCGTTGATCAACAGATGGTCATGGTTTCCTGACTATGGACATTGGATGTCATTGATAACGGGATCACATCATTAGGAGAATGATGTGATGGACAAGACCCAATCCTAAGCATAGCACAAGATCGTGTAGTTCGTTTGCTAAAGCTTTTCTAATGTCAAGTATCATTTCCTTAGACCATGAGATCGTACAACTCCCGGATACCATAGGAATGCTTTGGGTGTACCAAACGTCACAATGTAACTGGGTGGCTATAAAGGTGCACTACAGGTATCTCCAAAAGTGACTGTTGGGTTGGCACGAATCGAGACTGGGATTTGTCACTCCGTATACGGAGAGGTATCTCTGGGCCCACTCGGTAATGCATCATCATAATGAGCTCAATGTGACTAAGTAGTTGGTCACGGGATCATGCATTACTAAACGAGTAAAGTGACTTGCCGGTAACGAGATTGAATGAGGTATTGGGATACCGATGATCGAATCTCGGGCAAGCAACGTACCGATTGACAAAGGGAATTGTATACGGTATTACTTGAATCCTCGACATCGTGGTTCATCTGATGAGATCATCGTGGAACATGTGGGAGCCAACATGGGTATGTAGATCTCGCTGTTGGTTATTGGCCAGAGAGTTGTCTCGGTCATGTCTGCAAACCCGTAGGGTCTACACACTTAAGGTTCGATGACGCTGGGGTTATAAGGAAGATTTGTATGTGATTACCGAATGTTGTTCGGAGTCCCGGATAAGATCCCGGATGACACGAGGAGTTCCGAAATGGTCCGGAGGTGAAGATTTATATATGGGAAGTCATCATACGGTCACCGGAAATATTCGGGGGTATACCGGTATTGTACCGGGACCACCGGACAGGTTCCGGGGGTCCACTGGGAGGGTCCACCTGCCCCGGAGGGCCTTATGGGCTGTAGGTGGAAGGGAACTAGCCCCTAAGTGGGCTGGGCGCCATCCCCCCTAGGGCCCATGCGCCTAGGGTTGGCGGGGGAACCCTAAAGGGGGCGCCCCCCTTGCTTGGGGGGGCAAGCCCCCTCCCCCTTGGCCGCCGCCCCCCTCTAGATTCCATCTAGAGGGGCCGGCCCCCTTCCCCCTTCTCCCTATAAATAGAGGGGTGGAGGGAGGGCTGCAGCACCACATCCAAGGCGCAGCCCCTCCCCTACCCAACACCTCTCCTCCTCCGCGTGAGCTTGGCGAAGCCCTGCCGGAGAACTGCCACTCCATCACCACCATGCCGCTGTGCTGCTGCTGGAGCCTTCTTCCTCAACCTCTCCCTCCTTGCTGGATCAAGGCGCGAGAGACGTCACCGGGCTGCACATGTGTTGAACGCGGAGGTGCCGTTGTTCGGCGCTTAGATCGGAATCCACCGCGATCTGAATCGCTACGAGTACGACTCCTTCATCCGTGTTCTTGTAACGCTTCCGTCTCGCGATCTTCAAGGGTATGAAGATGCACTCCCCTCTCTCTCGTTGCTAGTTACTCCATAGATTGATCTTGGTGATGCGTAGAAATTTTTTAATTTCTACAACGATCCCCAACAGTGGACCTATTAGGGTCTTGTTATTGGGTTAAGAGCGTGTGTTATTTTTTCTTCCGTTGCAACGCACGGGCTCCTTTGCTAGTATGTTAAGAAATAAACATGTCCAAAACTGAACTCACTCCAACCTCCTCAGAAGACTGCCTAATTGAATAGAAAAATCAAATTATTACATAGTGTGACAAAGGATGGTAATATCAATCATGAAGATTTTTCTACGCAGGATATAGGACTTATCTAATTTCTATCTTTATATAGTATTTCCTAGAAAAGTAATAAAGCATGTTTCATTCAAACAAATGTAGATAATGCAAATATAAGATCAACATGGTCAAAGTGGGTGCTTACCTGGCTCTGGAAACTCATCCAAATATTCCGGTCCCTGAGAAATTCCTCCTAGTCATTGTTTTTTAATCGCCAAAAAAGTAATAAAACAACTAAATAAATACCCAATAGTTCGTAGAAACCCTAATGTTATTTAAAATGCTACGGTTGGATAGGTTTTGATTTATGATGAATTTATAAAAAAATGATTCATGTCATTTAGTGAATTTGCGGTTTAGGTGATATTAATTACATTTAGCGGTTAAAAGAAATTTTCCAGCAACCTCCTCCCCCTTGGATCTCCCTACTCCTCGGACCGCTTCTGATTCCTTCGGGGAATTGATCATTGTTTATCCTCTGTTCCTCCAATTAGAATTTTATTTATTGGTGTCCTAGATTTTAAGCGTGCAGGTCAAATTTTAGAGTGTTTTGAGTTAATTTGATTGCTAGTATGATCATACAAGTGTTTCCTGCACTTTTATTGGATAATATTATTATTGTATGCATTTAAGAACAAAATACGTGTAAAATGGATCACACTTGAAGAGTCACTTTCTCATGCGGAAGTTCATCCTCACGGAGAGATAGAGAGAGTGAGAGACAATGGCTTCCATGAGCACAGCCCCACCCACTTTCGCAAAAAAGTAAATATATATCACAGCCCCACCCCACCTCGTCAAGGCTGAACTATGGGGGAGGCCAAGAAAGTTTCTACTACGACAAGACGTCTACAATGAAATGAAACCGACGAAGTGGATGAATGTTTCCCTTCTTTACATAGTTCGGGAAGTTACGGCCACTTTGCTACCCTTCTCACCAATGCATGACTTTGCCGAGAAGAAAGTACTCATTTACGTCAAGTGCGTACCAACGATGTGGGAACCATGCCTTTTTTTTGCGAGAACCGTGCCTTATTTATATGACAGGTTACCAAATGGATATAAGCACATGTTTTAGTCAAAAGTTCAAGCTGTCGTGTGGTGAGTAGCAACCCTAATCCTGCATGTCTAAAATTATATCGTCAAAGAATTACAACGATCAAGTACAAGATGTAATTCACTAAACTCGAAGTGAACTCGACGAGCTGAAAGATGGACGGTCTAGAGGAGATGTCTACATCGGATCTAATCTACTAGTTTAATCCGATGGATCTTGGGGCTTCAGGTGCTTTTGGCTCCGATCAAAGATGTCCTTTGACTCGTGGGGACTGCGTACTTATTGTTGGTTAATTGGTTGGTTGTTCTCGTCGTCTCCATCTTGGTCTCGTTTGTATTTGCCTTCTCCTTGAAGTCCTTGTACTCTTGACTCCTAAGGACCCCTTATATGGAAACCGGGGGTTGGCATGTTCCTGAAGGTTAGTGCCACGGGCCCAGGCCCTCTTTGCCATGTTTATCTGGTCCTAGGAGGCCCAAACAGGTCAGTCGTGATATGGGGGGTGTGGGGGTCTGGTGTGGCAAGGGCATAGCTATGTATCGCGTTTGCGCGAGACAGAGCAGGCACTTGCCTACCGCGAGCATTCACTTTTTTTTCTTTTGATCATATTTTCGAAAAATATCTGAATACATATTTTTCAAAACTTATATTTACTTAATGAAAATTAAAAATCACAACCTAAAAAATGTTAACAGTGTAAAAGTTTTGTTAGTGTAATTTCACAAAATTGTTGATAGCATTCAAAAGAATGTTCAGCGTTCAAAAAAATGTGCATGACATTTTAAAAAATGTTTTAGGCCATTCAAAAAATGTATGTTACATTTAACAAACACGCATTAAAATTTTACATTTAAAAAAATATTTATACAATGTAAAAATGGTCTTAAAATGCTTCAACGTGTATTTAAAAATGTTTAACATCCCTCAAGAAAAATTATATGTATACCAAAAATATACAATGTGTATGAAAAAATAGACATCAAAACATGTATTTGAATATATTTTGTACTGATCATGTATTTGAAAAATGTTAAACGTGTGTAAAAAAATATTTCCAATGTAAATGAAAAAATTAGACATGTGTTAAAAAAAGAAAAAGGAAAATCCAAAGAAAACCGAAGAAAGAAACAAGAGAAAATCCAAAAACCAAAGAAAAAGGAAAGGAAAAAAGGAAAACATGATAAGATAATAGGAAACTCCAAAAACAAAGAAACAGATGCAAAACAGTGAAAAAACGATTAGAATCGCGGGAAAAAAGTCTCGCGCAGCTATAGTATTTTAGTCGGCCCAGTAGCCTCGGCGCTGTATGCGAGACATAATACGTCTCGGTCCGGGCGACACATAGCTCCGGCCCTCTGGCAGGCAGGCAGGCAGCAGCTGTACCGCGGAGTCCATGGTGGGCGAAGCGCTGGAGCAGGCACCGAGTCCTAGCAGGTAGCCGGCGGCGCCGCCCGCCCCCACCCCCTGCGGCCCTGCGTCTCCGCCGCTACGTGTGGACCTCCCCCACGGAAGCCTTCTCCAACATCCTCGTGTAGACCTGGGGCTCTGACCTCGTTGCAGACCTCTCCGGTGAGAACGCTTCTCTGGAGCTCCTCCCCGCACTCTTCATCGATGGTATGCTTCGCTACCGACTGCTATAGTAGAACATCTCCTCACTCTACATATGCTCAGTTAGAAACTAATGCCTGCAGTAGTTAATTAGATCGGGAACAGCACGAATGGCTTTATTAGAAGGGTCTAATTTGACAAAGACTTTTGCTCATGGAACCATGAATTGTGGCAGCTCTTAATTGTCAGTACTTTGAAAGAACAAATAGCTTTTCAATTTTGTGTTTGAATTCTAATTCCTATGGATCTGGTTACTGCAGAACCCTTGATTCGTAGGTATTAGCAAAGGACAAGTTTGCTGGTTTCCTTTGTATGCCCTTCCATAGCAAAAACTTATGAAAATCAATGTCCCGTCCCACCAACACCTCCTTTCTTTGTTCCTACTAAAAGCGCCATACGGTGTCAGTGGTATGGTCGCATAAATTTAGCACTAGAAGTATGTTACTTGGATTCCTCTGTTTTCTATGTACATGAATTCCTGTCAAATTCTGTTGGCTTTCTTATTATTGCCTTGCTAGAATCTTGTGAATAAACAAAATGACCTATATATTTCCGTTTGATGTGTATGACCAATACTCCTTGACCAGCTCGCGGAAGAAAGATCCTTCAGTTTCCATTAGGTTTGTAGGTCTGTCATACTCCATTATTTTCCCTGAAAGATTATATGCATCATTAGTATGGACTATGAAAATATATGATGTAGTCCTATCTTATAAAAATGTTTTAGCAAGACTAAGATAATACAACGGAAAAAGGCGGGTCACTGTATGAAACTAGTGAAGTTAGCATCCACTAATTGGTGTAAAAAAAAAAGCTTTAGTAGTGTTGGGGGAAAAGGATCCACATTGCATTTTGGTTCCGAGTATGATTTATATTCCGTATTAATTTTGTGCCCGTAAATAAGACTAACAATAAGAGAATCACTGCAGCTCTCTTATGTTGGTGATATAGGAAAGCATACCATCGCTCATTGCAAGTACCATGTCACAGTCCATAACTGTCGGTATACGGTGTGCCACTGTAATAACGGTGCAATGTTTGAATTCTGTTCGAATAGTCTTCTGAAGGACAACATCTGTTCCATTGTCTATAGAGGCCGTGGCTTCATCAAGAACTAAGATGCGACACCTTCTCAAAAGTGCGCGTCCCAAACAGAAGAGCTGCCTTTGGCCCATGCTCCAGTTCGACCCATCTTCCGCGACTGTATGACAATGATCTTGATTAGTAATATGAACAATTACACAGTTTCGGAAATTGTGCTAGCAAACAGATATATCTAGTGCGCCTAGGACTACTGACGGAAAATTGAGTAGCACACGTATGTTCATCCTATTTTGAACTTTGAAATGACTGAGGTATAGCTTGCTGTTTTCGCAGCTTCTTAGGAACAGAAAAAATGAACTCTGAAAACTAAAGTGCATAGGCAGATGGAATTTCCTACCAAGTGAATCCAATCCCTGTTCTTTCTCCTGGACAGTTTCAAGAAGTTGACATTTATCAAGAACCTGCAACAGAATAGAAGGTAAGACAACTATGGTGAATTGGTGATTCATTTTAAGATGTGCAAGGGACATAAAAGGAGAAAGGTAACTTGTCATCTGAGATGCCCTTAATTCAGTTTGACAACGTGGTGAACTTTCTGAAACTGCTATATATATGTTACCTTGATAACTGAGCTAATTTGCCATGGTTAAGTCATCTGATGATTGACAGATTGAATAAGATAAGAAAAATAACATAAAAAATTATGTATCATTACATATATTACCTCCCATATTTGTTGATCTGAGAATTGCCCAAGAGGATCTAGATTATATCTTACAGTGCCCTGAAAAAGTGTTGGATCTTGTGGGATGATGCCCAAATGTGAACGCAGGTCATGTAAGCCGATAGAAGTGATGTCCAAAGAGTCAATAATTATTTTCCCTCCAGATGGTTCGACAAGGCGAAACAATGCGCCAATTAACGTTGTTTTCCCACTTCCTGTTCGACCAACTATACCAATTTTATCTCCACCTTCAAACTTGCAACTGATTCCATGCAGTACAAGGGGAGCATCCTTTCTGTACCTAATCTGTCAAACAAAATGTTTATACCACAATCTGTTACAATTAATCCTAAAGGTTTTCACCTCTTAAGGCATACATGTATATATTCATATTTTTGATTCATTACCTTCAAATCTCTAATCTCCACACTACCAATTTGAGGCCAATCCGGTGCCGGCCGGTTTTCTTCGATGACTTCTGCTGCTTCACTTTTTATGTCCATGTACTGGTTCACCCGTTCCACGGATATTATTTGATTCGCAAAGGTGCATTGCTTTCTAATAGAGGAAACAAAAGACATATTTAGGGAAAGACCATACGACAAAGCCATTCCCACAAAACCTGCAGTAACAAAAGTAATTAGTTTCTCGATTGTAATGTTGATCTCTTCATAACAAATGCTTTTGGTGCTTGTGCTTAGCATAAGCTACTGACCAGGGCTAAAAGTTCCTGGAGGAAGAAGAACTATGAGAAATGCAGAAAAAGAAAGGACTGCAGCACTCATTATTTCAAGGCGTTGAATCAGCCATTCTGTTGCTGCAAAGTTGTAGAAGTATGGGATAGCATTCTTGTCAACAAGATCAGAATTTTTATCAAAGAAACGATCTTCTTCCTCGAAGGCCCTTATGGTTATAGCCCCTGAAATCGATTCGCCTAGGTGATTTGCTAGAGCGGACTTGGTAGTGCCATTGATCCGCATAAGTTCCTTAGCAGAGGCTAAGTAATACTTCTGCATGGCAAAAGAAAAAACATGACAGATCATCGGAAACGTTAATGGAAAACGGTTAATTAATTCACCCTTGGATGAAAAAAAGCAACAGAATACATCTGCTGGTGCATGAAATAATTACTGCCAAATATAACTGTAACAAAACCAGTTACCTGTAGTCTAACTGACAAAACTATCATTGGCACGGACACAAATAGAACTTGCCATGTAACAACAGCCAATACCCCCAGATTGCTGTATCCATTCAGGCTGGCACTAAGGCTAAACATGAACGCGAATGGGACATCAAGGTCGACAGTACTCAAATCGGAAGAGACCTGCATTACAAGGGAAAACAGAGCTGGCCCATCATTAAAAACGTCAGAATGTGAAACAGAATTTCAAATTTATTATCATGTTTGCCATCTAATCAAGAATTCTTACCCGGATAAGGACCCTTCCTAGAGGAGTAGAATCATAAAAGGACATCGGTGCACGGAACAACGAGTCAAGTAACTGGGAAAACAAGGATCTCGATGTCTGGACCCCGAGAACAACAACCGATAGACATCTTGATAGCAAAAACAACATCGTGCAAAGTCCGATAACAATGTACACAGTGATTAGCCTCAGTGTACTGACACGCGGATCTTGGACATTCGCCGCCATCCAAGAGTTCTGCGCTATTTGCCCCGCTATGAAGATCATGTGAGAAATGACACACAGAGAGGCATACATGAAGCCTCTGTTCTGGCGCAGGTAAATCATGTAGGGCTTAAGTCCAGTGTCTCCTGTCTCTCTTTCCTCTTCCTTGATCAGTTGGTGTGCTGGTGATGGCTTCTCAGACTTTGTGTATCCACTTCCATAGGCATGATGCTTCTCCTTTGTTGATGTTCCGTTTGCTCTGTGAGGAGCAGCATTGTTATCAACATCTGAAATCCCAATGGTATCCTTATGGGCATTTACAAGGTCTTTGAATTCTTGACAGTCCGCCAATAGATCTCGATAAGGTGCCGACCGAATAACCTCCCCATCTGACATCAGCTGTTAAAAATTACGACTAGTTTAGATGATAACATGAACAAAAACTTACAGGCCATTATAGATATGTGTGTGTGAGAGGGAGACCAGAATGGAGTCGAAGACGGGTAGAAAATCGACTTGGTGGGTGACCAGAAGAACAGTCTTGTCTGAAAGAGCGCCCATGACATATTCCTGCATGTCAGATAAATCAATGGTAACTTAATTTAAACAACAGTTTCCCACTAAAATCATTAATCACTCTGCAAAGCTGCTGATAATTGTGATCCTTACATTGAAGAGGCCGGTTGCTGTATGGGCATCGACGGCGCTGAAAGGGTCGTCGAGGAGATATATGTCTGCATCTTGGTACAACGCACGAGCAAGCTGAAGGCGCTGCTTCTGACCGCCACTCAGGTTCACTCCCCTCTCCCCGATTTCAGTATCGTCTCCGTACGGCAACATCTCAAGGTCCTTCACCAGCGAGCACCTCGCGAGTGTTTCCTGGTACCTTTGGCTGTCCATACGAGACCCGAAGAGAATGTTCTCCTGCACGGTTCCGGTTTGGATCCATGCGTTCTGTGACACATATGCTATTTTTCCGCAGACTTGAATCTGATGGATGAACATTTTACACATGATTAAAGCTTATTGTCACATCATGACCTTATAAATGTTTAATTTTCCATCAGCTGAATGTTAGGCTATCAATTCTGAATACTGCATCTATACTTGCTACAACATTTGCAAGTGGTAAAGTTTACAGTGGAAATGAAACCAATTCAATACAGAGGCCTCGAATACAGACATCCGAACACAGCGTTAACTACATTTGCAATCAAATAAGAAGGGAACTTAAGTTAAAGTGCAGATATTGTTTTCTTTAGGAAGCCAAGTACTAATAATAGCTATACTAGCCACGAGAATATCCAAAAGGCATGGATACATCATATATAGTCTTATAAACTGACAGATGTGTGGTTTTGCATTTCATTAAAAAAACGAAGATGATGTTATTGAAAAGCATACCGTGCCTTCAGTTTTCGGGACCTCTCCGAGTATCGCAGCCAAAAGCGTCGACTTCCCCGACCCTACCTCCCCGCAAATCGCAACCTTCTCCCCAGCTTTGACCACCAAATTTACATCCTTCAGGTTAGGCTTTGATGGATCTTCGCACCACGAGAACCAGCACGAGTTCATAGCTACCGGGTAACCGATGCCTGCAGAGGAACATTTCTCCTTGGCTCGTCCATTCAGCTCAGGTGCACCTAGAAACTTCTCTATCCGAGTGAAAGCAACCTTAGCCTGCACCACGACTCCGAGAACCTCCGGTATGGCCCGAATCGGGTCCTGCACCAGGCGCAGGGTCGCGATGAAGGTGAAGACGTTGCTGGCATCAAGAGGGATCTCCAGAAAGTAGCATGTCAGAAATGTCGCCGCCGAGACCCAGACAGGCGACGACCAGAAGAGGACGCTGTTGTACGCCCTGCTAAGCTGGAACGCCGACAGCCACCTGTACTCGACCTCCCTCAGCTCCTCAATGGCCTTCCTGAAGTGACCTTCCCACGCGTAGAGCTTCAACGCCTTCATGTGCACCAGTGACTCTGACATGGCCTTCAACCTCGCGTCCGTCGCCTCCATCAGCTTGCTCTGAAACCTGTGCTGCAGCTTGGCCAACGGAGCGTTGCAGAGCACGGTGATGACGACGACGACCAGGGACGAGACCATGGCGGCGCCGACCGCGCTGTAAAGGATCGCCAGAGCGATGCAGAGCTGGACGACCGTCGTCCATGTCTGGTGGAACCAGTACGGGAACTCCCCGACCCGGTACGCGTCGACGGTGAGGTAGTTCATGATCTGCCCGGAGGAGTGTGCCATCTTCGCCGAGCTCGATAGCTTCTGCTGCTTCCTGTAGATGGCCGCCGAGAGAAGCGACCTCACCTGGAGCCCCAGCCTCCGCGTGCGGAAGTACCACTGCCTCTGCGACAGCGACTCGCACAATTTGCAGATGAACATGAGCGCGGCCAGCGTATAGCCTTCATGCTTGGAATCGGAGGTCACTTTCCCGGTTGACAGGTTGATGAATGCCCTCAGGAGCAGCGGGCCTGTGGACAAGGTGAGCACCTTGAGCAGGGCGAAGAGACCTGACACCATGATCCCGCACTTGTGATGAGAAACGATAGCCCACAGGATTGATGGTGGTGTGCCATCATGTGACGTCTGCTTCTTCTTGTTCAGCTTCTCCACGAACATCGAGTACTGGCTCTGTGCCCGGTCCGTGGCGCCTAGCAGCGGCATGTCTTTGTCGCCGAGGGGCTTCTCGTAGCCCGTCTTCATCAGAGGGTTCAGCCACCAGAATGTCATCTGGCTCAAAATGCCAGCTCTGGCAAAGGGAGTCACCTTCTGCTGGCTGACCTCTGAAGAGTCATCAGCTACCTCACTGTCAGCTGTGTCATCCGTCTTCAGTGGCTCGTATAATCCTTCATGTCCCTCTTGATCATCATGGGCATGGCTGCTGTGAATGCTGTAGACAAGAAACATAACTGCGCCTGGCAGCGACAGGAGATCCAAACAGGCCTTAACAGTGATCGGCTTCTGAGCAACAATGGCGACAACCGAGGAACAGGAGACGAACACCGCATAGATGGTCAGCAAGACCGACCATGATTGAGCGAACACCGACCCGAGAAACCGGCTCCCGGCGGCGAAAGCGAAGCCGGCGAGGAGCAAGCTGAATCCCTGGGACAGTGTCACAAGCCACCAGTGCGGCAGGCAAGTCCTAGAGGCATCCGGATGGTTGTCGAAGTTGCTCCCCAGCAGCATCCAGAGTCCTAGGACGAGATGGAACAACCCCAAGCAGCCATTGAACACCACGGTGGCGAGATGCAGCGGTGAGCTGGGCCTGAGAAGCCGCTGGCGGCGCGTGGCGGACGCTCTGCTCTCGGGGAGCCGGACGAGGAACCGGAGCAAGAGCACGACCGCGAGAGGCGCGACGATGCCCGTTTCCACCAGGTGATTCACGCAGGTGGAGGCGTTGAATACTTCTCTGAGGACGCCCTGGTCGCAACAAGCCGGGCTACCACACAAGTTCATCAGCGTCACCCAGGAACCTGAGGCATAGATCACAGAGCATTGCGTTGCAGTGAGATTTCCCAGCTCTTGTAGTACCATTGTAGCAATGCTGATGTAGGTATGCAACAACATGCATGGGACGGGTGAGAAGCGTATAGTACTTACTTGCGATTGCGAGGGAGCTCATCTGTGGGAGCGTGCGATGACGAACAGCCCTGCTTGAAGCTGAAGCCGCCACAAACAGGGCATGGAGCAGATCAAGATTGATCGCGAACAAACTGTGCGACTCGATCCCGAGATTCACTTCTTTGGTTAGTACTCCCTCCGTTCCTAAATGTAAGTCTTTATAGAGATTCCACTAGACGGACTACATACGAAGCAAAATAAATGAATCCACACTTAAAATGCATCTATATACATCCGTACGTAGTTCATAATGAAATCTCTACATAGACTTATATTTAGAAACAGAGATAGTATTTATTATGGGTTTGTCGGTCCCGCGAGCAACTGTGGCGCTGTTGAGTATTGACCTCTCTGTTCCGTAGCGGCCATCGCTGCGTGCCGTTTGTCCGGAGCTTTGGCAGTGTGCGCGCACGGCATATGCCAAAGAATAACAGAGCCGTAAGCCGTTGGGATCTCGTGCCTCGGCGTCGCGGGATTTTTTAATCATGAATGATTTTGGAGGAAATCTCCCGGAAATTGACAGGAGCGGACGAGCTCGCCTGGTCCCGGAATCGCTTGCCGCTCGTTCTCAAGGGGATATGGGCTGCGTCTGGTATTGTCGGTGTATAGTTTGTTTGAAGATCCTATATTTTGGGCCGTATAGGAGTCGGTCGGACACAGGTGAATAGCGGACGGCCGTTTGTCCCAGAAGCGGCGTCGATGACCTGGACCCATCTGTTCAATGTGCATGCCGGCAGCTGTAGATGAGGCACACACGTGACCCCTCTCTTTTTTTTGAAACTGACCACTCATTTAGCGAATCCTATCACGCCCGCATATCCCTCCTAAATCAGTTCTCCTTTTTTTTGTGAACGAACCAGTTCTCCATTTTAACGACGAACCCTTAGTCTGCCGAAACCACACAATATTACGGCAAAACTTTGACTACAAATAAAACTTGTGCAAAAGATGGTAGTATAAAGTTTGTAAATATATATATGTGTTTGACATCACAAGTTTAAATGACATCACAAACTTGAATTCCTGGAACGACCACTTTTTTTTTGAGAAACACGTGTAATTTTATATACACTGATTCATATCTAAAATCTAACAAAATACAGAATAACTCTTATGACTAAGAACTATAATAAAATCTCTTGAAAACACCTTCACGGTATCAATCTCTGCTAGGAAAAATGCTTCAAAGACTTCGGTAAAGAGGCTACAATTGGACCGAAGCAACGTGGTTGTCACTATTTCACCCACACGAACATTATCAATAATAGTTTTTGAAAACGCCTTGAGTCGTCCATCCAAAAAGATGGAAAGCCTTCATCGATGAACATACTTGAGGCGGGGATAATTCCCTAAAAAAGTGCAGGCCGTCGAATCACAATATCTTCACCACGATGTCGATGAAAAATTTCAACTTCACAAAGAATCAAACCAACAAAAAAAATGGTCACACCAATGTAAATTCACCAGATCTGAATAGTCGGATCCGTGAGGACAGAAAACTCTCTAATATCATGGCACCGCCAAAAGAACAAAAGTAAATTTATTCTTACAAAAACGATGATCAATAGACGATGACGAAAAATGTACAACTCTTGAAGATGCGAGGTCCCCTGACCTCTTAGCGCCAAGATGGCAGCCGAAGGCGAGGGGAACACCTGAAAAAACACCTGACATTCGTGTGGCAATTATGATAAAACACCTGAAAAGGTAAGATATTAATTATCTTCAGCAGCTGATCAGTAAATCACAGGTCACATTACTACTTGATTTCAAATGCAATTTCCTAGGAGTACGTATTGTAGTAGTCTCTTCACCTAATGAGCCGAGCTCCTGCCGACTTCAGGCGCTTTAACAGTTCCAGTCTTCTCTGCATATCCCCTGATTGTTTTCTATAGGGTGCACACTCTACCGGCGCATGGTGGCCGTTCAACAAGTGCCCACCCAACATGGACCCAGCATCAATTAGATCGTTGCTGTCAGATATAGTACCACATTGACTTTAACACTGGAGAACGCATCCTTCCAACACCCCAGCACGCATGACAGTTTCGCCTTTTTCAGTAATATCTCTTTCTAAGCAGTGGCAATATCACTTGAGCGTCTGCACCACAACGGTGCCAATAATACAGTCAGGGGATAATTTAGGCGTGATTTACCTCTTCGTCCAGAACGGTGCCTGCGGGTCGTCCCTGCACATTGACTGTTTTGAATCCGGTGCGAACAAGTTGCTAGACGCGCAAGCGCCGGCGAGGCATCACCAACATCAGCAATGCTGGACTCGGCTACTGCGTCCACCGGATCTGCAACCGGCTGCGCCGGCCGCGTGTATTCACCACCCAACGTGGGAAGAGGGAATCTGTCCTCCAACCGGATAACGCTACTGAGGTGCATGCCGCAAAATCACTACAATCTACAGCGGGGGCAAAAACCATACCTGTTAACCAGATCTGATAGGAACTCGAATGCATCTCCCAGCGCCTGTGCCGCCACCACTGGTTCGATCTCTCCGCCGCGCAGAGCAAAGCACCCGAGGGAAGAGGGGATCTGTCCGAGAGTAGCAGGTGCCCGAGAGGTCGAGCCGGGTAGGCAGATTCCTTTTTCCTGTTGCGACGCCGTTTGGCCACGCCGGTACGGGGGCGGCCGCATCCTGTACTGATGGCCTGCCGTCACGGCAATGCCTAACTCCGCCGAGCAGATCGTACGGGCCCACTACCTTACATGCACTATTCCCACTGCGTATACGAACAAGTATTGACTGCCGACTCCCACGTGACCGTGTACCATTGGTCCACAAAACAGGTGCGCGCGAGCTCGTCCGCTCTATCGCTACTCTCGGAAATCTCCTTGCTATATTACACAACCAAGCATGAAACGCATATCTAGAGAGGAAGAGGACCTGCCACAGGTGGCGAATGCGACGAGCCGGGTGCCTCCTAACCAAACCACAACCAAAACTCGGAGCGAACCGACGAACCACATGAAAATCGCTCGCCGCCGGAGCTTGCACCCAAAACACATAAAATCAACCGATAAAGTGGTGCAAGCATCACGGGACCACCAACACGAGCAGCACGCACGGCCAACTTGACGAAGCCACCGTCGCAATGCGAGAGCAAGGTCTACAAGAGGATCCTAAGCACAGAGGCTTGGAGGATCCCAAGGGGGGCGATAGCACCTAGAACAAACAACGACCACGATGAGATGCTCTGGTAGCACAGCCCATGGAATGGATCCCACACAACCCAAAGGAGCATCGGATCAGAGCAATGCTAGAGCTACGTAAAAAGTTCTACGTGATTAACGTAATAAATCAGGTGGATGAATATGATTG